TTATCAGCGACATGAAAGTAACGAAGTAAGTCTTCAAATCTGTTTCTTGACATGAGCGATGCCACGGCTTGAAAGCTACAATCAACTTGCTGTTCCCAATACATACGGTACCTTGGCACGCTGTTATACCCTGACAATAACAGTATTCCGATAAAATGTTTCATTTCGGTCAGCGACACCCTAAAACCATGCTTGCCTTTCTGAATTGCGTTTTTTTCTGTTTCTGAACGCAATAACTCAAACACCTCGTCATCAAAAAACAATTCGAAGAACTGTATTGGCGTTTCAAAATCTTCTAAAAAACTAGGTAAATTAGTATCTTTTTCCTGTTTTTCTGGTCAGCGACACCCTAAAACCATGCTTGCCTTTCTGAATTGCGTTTTTTTCTGTTTCTGAACGCAATAACTCAAACACCTCGTCATCAAAAAACAATTCGAAGAACTGTATTGGCGTTTCAAAATCTTCTAAAAAACTAGGTAAATTAGTATCTTTTTCCTGTTTTTCTGAAATATCAATAGCCCTCCAACGTCTAGATGCAGGAGCGCGCCTTTTTTTCGTCGGCGGTGGGTTTACTGACGAGGTACTGGGTACGGGTTCGAGAGGTTGATGGTCAAATAAACTGTCTTCAATATAAATACCGGTATTTGAAGCAACGGTAGCCCGAATTTCAGCTTCTGCCAACAGTTGGTGCCTTGACAAATTATTTATGTGGGCCGACTCCTCATCACCACTGTCTTCGTCACTTTTATCATAATTTTCTGGTGGGGTGATAAAAATATCTGCCGCTAAAACGTCCGTTTCATCCTCCAGGTGCGAAATAATTTCATTTGCAGACAAAATGTAACAAAATAAATAAAAATATCTAAATAAAAGCAAAATCGTAATGCATAACCGTACACGGGCATATTATCCTACTGATCGAAAAATCGATCACTTCATAAAACATCCGCATATCTACCTATATTCAATTTACATTCATTGTGACATATTACAACATTGATACACACACTATAATAAGTATGAAATAATAACAATACATGAATTATAAAATAATGTGATAAAAATACTTACATTTTACGACGAGACATTTTTTTGGTTAAAAATTGCCGCAATTACACTCGAACTACACTGAAATTGGCGCCAATTGTTAAACGTCAAAAATTACTGATTAAACGAACTTACCTGTACGTGAAGTTCTATCAGAATTATGCGAAGGCTTCGTCCGAAGGGATTAGCAAATAACACTTGTAGTATCGCCCATTAGATCGCCACTCACACACTGTATTTGAGGGC